TAATCTACCGTTATGCTGAGTCTCTGTTGGTGTGTAGTACGGAGTGGACAGCATTCTATAAACTTCTGATTAGACCTTAGCCTTCTAGTGGACTTGTTTCTCAATGCTGTAACCTTCACAAATGTTTGTCCAGAGGTAATAATTCACTTCTCGAAGTGAAATACTAAAATACCTTTCACATACAGGTTAGAAAGTTCAGTATAAAAGTAAGATAAAGAGATTTCTGTAGTACCACACACATTGCCACAAACTGGAAGTTCAAGGTCAGAATTTAGTTAGGGGACATAGCAGAGACAGGTGTTTATTGAGTGTATAACAAACCCTACATTAGGCATTTTATAATTGCCACCTCAATCCCTACAACAGTTATATAAGGAATTACAGCCATTGGCAGAATTGGAAAAGGGTTTCAGAAAGTTCAAATCACTTGACCTAAGCTGCATAACTAAGCTGATTTGAATCCCCAGCTGTGACTTGGGAGAGCCTGTGACGAAGATGACGAATGCCCATTTTCCCACTCTTATGGTTATTAGATGGGAGTCATGACTGCTGTAGGAAAAACTACAGTCCCCAGGCTCACTTGCATCTGACCCATAATGTTTGAAGAGAGTGTTGTGTGGCTGCTTCTAGAAATATTCTTAAAAGGCAAATTGGTGCCTTTGTCCTTTCCTACTTCTGCTGCCTGAGAAGTGGCCATGATGGCGGCCATCTTGCTGATAATAATGGATGGAGCCCAGGAGGAGGAGCAATGGATGTGGTTAGAAGTCCCGGGGGTGGGGGTGATCTACACATCGAGGATTCCAAGGACAGAAACTTGAAGAACATTAATAATTTGAGGAGTGGGCAGCAGAAGAGGCCAGTAGGCAGATGATACCAAGAACAAGGACAGAGAGGCTAATAATATCAGTCCTCAGAAATAAAATAAGATGCAGAGTGAAATCCCCAGGGATCTTTTCAGAGAAATTGCTGTGACCTGTTGGAGGTGGAAGCTGGGAGGCTTAGGAACCAATGTGAGGAGAAGAGATGGACAAATTCCTTTAGGCTGTATTTTAGATAATGTTACTGATGAAGAGAGATTTACTGCCATAGTGGGATGGAGGTTTTTGTAAAGTTAGTTTATTTTTGCTAGTTTTCAGTTTTGCACAGTGTTTAGTGTGCTTATAGGATGCAGGGAGCAACTCGGAGGCGGAGAGGTTGAGGTGTGGGAGAGGGTGCTTCTCAGAAAGCCCTGGAAGGCCCTGGAAGGAGGAGGGCGCAGGCCACAGGGTCAGCCAGAGCAGAGAGGTGAAGGCAGAGAGAAATGCCTCTGAAGATAATTGGGTTTGGTTGCTGAAGGAATTTGTCCTTATCAGCTTTAATTTTCTTGGTGAGGTAAGAGAGGTTACCCTTGGGAAAGAGTGGATGATGGGATGGGTTGTGGTGAACTTGAGAAGAAAGCACAGAAAGGCCACTAGGGGGAAGAGAAGGAGCCAAGGGGGACAGGTCTGCCAGGCTTCGAGTGGAGGCCCTGTGGGCTATCAAGGCTAGCCTCTGGAAACAGCAAGGATGAAGACAATATGAGGCTAACCAGTGAAGCTCAAGCCTTGAAGCCGGAACTGAGGACACTAAGCTGAAAGGTCTTACCTCTACCATCACTGCTTTAGTTAGTGCTGGCCCATAGGAAGGGGGTCCAGGTGCAAGCACACTCACAGTTACCATCCTACAAGCAGCCTCCCCAAGGGCTGATGACCGATGACTAGTGCGCTTGTTACTGGCTTGGTCTCCAAGTTGATAGCAAACTTATGAGGAAGAAAAAAAAAAAAGAAAAGAAAAAGAAAAAGGAATCCAGGCCATGAATGGGAATCTCAGTGGCTCAGCCATGGCCTGCAAACTGACAGCAAAGGGAATTTGTTCAGCAGCTTGGGAGGGAAGTGAGCTGGGGATGTTTGAATAAATCCCAAACAGGCCACTATCCCAGAAACGAAGTTGCCGACACTGCCACGTGAGCTCTTCACAGAACAGTTCTGCATGGGACATCTTACCTCACATCAGCTCTTGTTTGCTGGCCCAAATTCTTGGTCGTGTTTCTCTCAAGTGCTCACTTTTGGAGGTTGGAATTAGGGTTTTTTTTTTTTTTTTTTCCCCAAGCATCTAATTCACTCTACTTCTAACGTTCTACCTGACTTCATTTGACAAATCGTGAGCACCTCAGCATGGTGGTAAACATGGTAAAGATCGTGTATGGCCTGGATTTCCTTTTCTACCTTGGGACTGTTTATATCTCCCCAAATTCATATATTGAAGCCCTAAACCCGCAGTGTGGTGGTGTTTGGAGATGGGGCTTCAGGGAGGTAATTAGGGAGAGATCCAATCATGCGAGTGGGGGCCTCATGACGGGATTAGCAGCCTTACAGGAAGAGGAAGAGGGAGATCTTCCTCTCCGCGCCCACACTCAGAGGAAGGGCCCGTGTGAGGACATGGGGAGAAGAGGTTGTCTGCAAGCCAGGGAGAGAGCTCTCACAGAAACCAAATTAGCTGGCACCTCGATTTTGGACTTCCCAGCCTCCAAAACTGTGAGGCAATAAATTTTTGTTGTCTCAGCTCCCCAGTCTGCGGTATTTTGTTGTGGCATAATACTGCATCACAATGCAAAAACCAAAGGAACAGAACAAGGGTGTGGTTACACATTTGTACCCAGCCAAACTCCTTCTAATGCCAAGAATTCCTCTCGGTTCTTGAGCAGCAGGGTGACTAGGGGATGCCAGATCATGTCATCCTGGACGGCAGGGGTATAGCTCTTGTCCTTGAGCCTTCCATGTCTCAAGGCTTGCTTAGGTGTCAGGCTCTTGATCATGGCTTCATTAGGACGAAATTTCAAATGGAAACTGGTATGAAACAGATGCGAGAGCACTTGCTCCCCTCCTATGAAGACACCTTGTTGTAGATTACCCTCTAGAACCCTGTAATTTACATGTGGTCTCTTCTCATAGGAGCTCTTCAAGTAAATCCAAATTTGTTTAGACAATTTCATGGGTACTGTAAAACCACAATTGAATTTCAGGCCTTTGTAGCAGTCCAGCCAAGATGCGCTCCAATTAGAAAAAATTGCCGTTAATGTTGTTACGATGTGGTGGCTGCCCACTGCGCCCCAGACATTTGTTCTCCGAAATCCCTTGAGTCTCTTCTTTATTCTTCAGCTAAATAGACAGGCCCCTAGAATCTATGCTTTTGGAATTGTAATAGAGGAGCAATATTGTGCCTCTCTCTTAATTAACCTTGTTAACCAAGGATTTGGAACATTAGCTGGTTAGGCTAAGAGGGCCTTTTGAGCTGCTCCGTACATGCCTGCAGTTGAGTAGGATGTCACTCTTGTGAAATAAAGTGCCTTTTATTCTTCGGCATACACCGAATACCTTTATTATTCTTCGAGTAATGGTGTGATATTCTAGTTTAGCGAAATAATGTGTGTAAAGGGCATAGCTTCGTGCCAGGCACAATAAAACCTCAGCTATTGCTTTTATCATTTAAAACAAGTTTTTTTTTTTTTTTAAGATTTTATTTATTTATTTGACAGAGAGAGACACAGTGGGAGAGGGAACACAAGCTGGGGGAGTGGGAGAGGGAGAAGCAGGCTTCCCACTGAGCAGGGAGCCCAATGCGGGGCTCAATCTCAGGACCCTGGGATCATGACCTGAGCCGAAGGCAGACGCTTAACGACTGAGCCACCCAGGCGCCCCTAAAACAAGTTTTTTTTTTTTCTCTCCCTCTTTTTGGAGGCTTTCTGCATGGAAAGGAAATACAGGGGAAGAGTTGTCAGAATCACTCAGGCAGCTCAAGATAAATCAGTCCACAGTGGATTCCAGATTCCACATTCCCTGAGACCATTGTCTTTCTAAGAGCATCTTAACCCCAAGATATTCATGACTTGTTTCTTTTGACTCTCACAGAGTCTTCTGAGGTACTTCTCATCCTTTCCTGCTCCCCACACAAAAGAAGGTAAGAGACAAAAGCGGCAGTTTTTCTCCCAAGGCAGATGCCCCTCCCAGCCTGGAAAGGAGTTTCAGGATATGGTAATTAACATATTTTTCTTAATCTTCCTTTTATAGTTAATCTCCAAATCATGAAAGCAGTTGGCCAGTTCATTAAACTGTAAGAATACAAGAGATCTGAAATGAAGGCAGCACCGATGAATGCCAATGCATAAAACTGTCCATTCTGTGGAAAAATACAACACAAATCCCAACCTGAAATACTAAATTAAACATTTGAAATTAACCATATAAATATGTTTTCCGGCCCAATAGGCAGCAGTTCATCTAACTCAGTGGAATGTCACTTTCCGAGTTAAGAAGCATCCATTCTTGGACCTCTTCTAGGGGGAAAAAATGCTCCTTTATAGAATTTTGTCTAAAATCACTGCCTACTAAGTTCATTCAGGACACAGTGGCCCCCAATGTACCCTGAGCGGGACTGGCATGTAGTCTGTGAGTACCCAGGGTATGTAGAATGAGGCTGGCTTTGGAAAGAAGGACATGGGACACTGGTGTGTCCTACACCAGGTGGCCCAGTTTCAAAAAGGCCAAGGCTGAGAGCAAGAGGGAATCCCGAGCTCTGTGTCCTCTGTATGGAGGACATTGGAGCAAAATACTCATCCATGCTCTTCACCTCTCACTGTGACCTGCTCTAGGTTCAAGCAAAGCCACCTGTTCCATCTGGGCCATGTCCCCAGTGACCAAAGTGAAGGCCAGTTCATGAGACAGGATTCTTTTTCTTACACATCGGTTGCAAGCAGACATGACAAAAATGGGCAATTTTTTTTTAATTAAAAAAAAAAAAACCAACCAAAAAGCAGATAGGAACATTATTTTCAAAGGCATTGGTTGAAAATAGTAGTCCAGGGAGCAGAAAAAGAATGGTACTTGTAGTTTCCAGATACATTGTTGGACAAAAATGCTTTTCTTCATTGAAATCAGGATTATGGAATGCTGGGTATCAGATGGTATCAGCCATTGAGGTGGTCTTTAGTTTTTCTTGTTCTTGCCAACAAAGCCATCCATTACATTCAGGGCACCCATATATTCAGTCAGAAGAACTGACACCTTGACAGGCAAGAAACTAAAGAGAACACAAGAGAGGTTTTCTTGGTTATTATTGTGGAAGCACCTTTACCAACTCAGCCGAAATGCAGCGTCACTGACTTGTTGTAGATGGAAGTCACTGGCATATGCACACATTAGCGCGCACGCTTTAGGATCACTCGGGGGTTGTCCGCTATGTGGGAGGACACTGGCCCGCCCAGGGTTTCTATATCTCTTCTGGCTTTATTTACGTTTACTCAACTCACTTCTCATCTCAGTTTCCAAACTATGTAATGATTGACAGGAAACAGTGAAGTCTTGTGGAGTTGGATAAGCCTGGCTTGAATCCTAGCTTTGTCACTTAACATGCCATCCCAGGTCCATTACTTAGCTCTCGAGCCTGTTTCTTCCGGTATCAAATGAAGGCATCAATCTCTCTTTCTGAGACTCCTATGGGGATCAGATAGATCCCCAGACCTTTGGCAAGACCCAGCTAGGACTCCTCATCTTCTCCATCCCCGCTCACCCTTCCCAACAGAGCACAGACCCCATCCATCTGACATTCACATTGCAGAGCAAGGCGAGGCACAGTAAACCTAAGACTCGTCCTCAGCGTTGGGTAAAGGAAAGGACACTGAGCTCACTGTCCATCTGCGGGCACCCCAGGATGTCATATGTTACCTTTTCCATGATCCCTCCCCTGAGCAACACACTGGACATCGGGGCTCAACCTGCATTACCCCCTGCCTCCCACTCTGGGATTTCTCTTTCTTGTTTTATGTTTCTTCCTAGCACTTATGACTACCCCAGCATGCCTTTTCTTTTACTTAACTTTTTTGTCTGTTCCCTGCCACCCACCCTCAAGAAGAAAATTTCCATGAGGGCAGGTACTCTTGTCTCTTTCCTTCTTTGCCGTAACCCCAGATCCTTCGTGGCACACATTAGGCTCTCTCTAATGCTTACTAATGAATATTTGAGGGAATGTGTGATGTCATCCCCTTTACTGAACTTCCTCATGTTTCCAAATGCTCATCAGGAACTATGTAGATCTCTTGGGGTCCAGAACTAATATCTTATAAAAGTAAATATAACCTCTATGATTATACAAAAACATTACAAAAATTGAGTCCTATGTTCTTTGCAGTTGACATTATTATACCACATACTTCTATCAATTAGGCAAAAGATAGCCACTGTCCTGTGAACACCCATGCTGTCCTATAAATTGTGTGACACTCACTAATCTACAAGCTCTAATAAGCACTGACTTCTAAGTCGTAAACAAGAAAACTGGCCGGCAGAATAAAGGGCATGCTCAGAGTCACAGACTTAGTAAATAGCAGAATCATAACCCCAGATTTCAAAGTGCTTGCCAGAGATCCTTTGCCCTGCCTCACACAGCCTGTCAGCGGTATCGCTCCTGTGCTAGGTGAAGCCTGGTCAGTGAAAGGACATAGGAATGATTTCGGTGCATTGCACAAAGTAGATACAATTACCTGAAGACAAAAAGGCATTTCCTCATGCAAGAAGGACAGTGGCTGCCAGCCATAATATCTATGTTCAAATAACTGAGGAACTGTTGTCAAGAGGAATGGAATTAGTCATAGTGCTAGAGGGTAAAGTTAGAGCCAGTGAACATTAAAATGAGACAGATTTCAATGCCACAGAGAGAAGTGGTTCAGTAATGGAATGTGCTTCCTTGCGAAGCAGAAACCCCGATGGGCGGGGGTGTCGTATGACTTGATGACCTGTTACAGTCCAGAAAACGAATTGAGATAGTGGGAAATTTGCAGCTGCTCAGCAATTTGGCATCACCCTCCCTAGAACTGGGTCCCCTGGTCACAGACTGCCGCTGATGGATCTCAGCACTAAAATCCAATGAGGAGCAGAGAGGGTAAGCAAAGATGCTCTCGGGTGCTTTTCAGTCCCCCGCCCCCAACTCTTTTAACCCTCTTAGACTTCAAATTTATCCTCTATTGCCAGTTTTACCCATACTACAACTTCCTGAAATGTTTGGCTTACTGTCTGCCCTTGACTCTGGGGATCTGTATTTGAGGAAGCATGGACACAATATCTGTTCCAACATGATTATTCTGTGATGCCCACAAGAAAGACCACCTGTCTTAAAAAAAAAAATGACTTCAGCCCGTCCACAGATCATTCAGTAAATCCACTTCTCTCTAACAATAACGCAATACTAAGATAGGGCTGGCAGGATCCAGTTCCATCTTCTAGACTCACGGGAAGCACTGCACCTATGTGAATTTGAGATCGTGTCAGCAAACAGGCACAAGGAAGGGATCAAAGTGAATTCATTTAACAGGTATTTTTAGAGTGGCTCCTCCTGGTAGGAAAATAAGTTGCTGATTGGCTCATTAGAGAAGTAATAGGAAGCTGATATCGTTACCTTTTTAAAAACATCAAAAAGGAAATAAACTTTGGCAAATTTAAGTATATTTTCTCTTGCAGGATGGCATCTACTATCTTGTCAGCTACATAGTCTGGTTCCAGAGCTGGTAACAGAAAAGGATGGCTAAGGAGTAGAAAAAAAAAAAAAAAAACAACTGAAAAAACCCAAGTTAATAAATTACTAAAAAAAATCTGATAAATTAGGGATTAAAAAGGCTATAAGACATAATCACTTATTTGCTTCTTTCCCTTCCAGATTTGATTTATTTCTATCTTTACTCCTTTATTATCAACGTGCTAGTAACAACTTTATTTTCAAATGGCAAATGATGATTCTAATTAATACACTGGTGATACAGTATATGCATCTACATGAAACCGTATTGAACAACTTCCTGTCATCCCTGCGAGATGCAGAGTTGGGCATTGGTGTCCCTCCCGCTCCAGTGATTTTCAGTCCTGCCATGGAGTCAGTCAGGGAGTTTGGTGGCAGAGAGAGACTATGGCCAGGAATGCTGGGGAGATGGCTAGCAGACCTGGCTATGGTGTGGTAGGAGTTGGACCCAGCCTTGACAAACCACCCCCCTTAAACTCAGTATCTTAAACACAAACACATTTGAAGAAAGAAACAATTCTGAAATCACTTTTAAATCAGGCTGAATCCTAAGGAATACCTTTTTAAACAACGTTAACGGATAGAACAAAATAAAATAATTTTTAATCATTTTCAATCATTTTAAAAAACGTAGTTTCTTTGAAATCAAAGGACATACTTACGCAGTGGAACAACCTTTAAACATTCCAGTTTTTATAAAAAATGGGCACACAATAGTGGTTTTTATCCCCTTTAGCTTCTGGGCTATTGTTTCCATACATACAGATTCAGCAAATCCGAAGGCTGCAAATTTACTTGCACAGTAATCTGAAAAAGGCAAAAAACGGTAACGTACATTCTAGAGTTTTTAAATGGCATTATATCAAGGTTTCCTCATAACACGAACACACACAGAGAATAGGACAATGATTTCAGAGTTCTTATTTTGTATGATCGTGGTCTGCACCCACTGGAGGAAGAGAGGAACAAGTGGGGAGGAGCACCATCACCTAAAGGTCGGTTGAGAAGGACCAAGTGCCCCTGGGGAGACGCAGGGCTTCGGGGAGCCTCCCGCAGGTCACACTGCAAGGCTTTACTTCCACCCCGACGAGTGGTCAGACACTGTGGGAGCTGTTCCACGGGGCAGCGACATGTGTGTCCCAAAGAATTTCAAGACCACTGGGGCAGGGAGACACACAAAAGAAGAAATAAAATAATAAGGGATATAGGAGTCCAGGCAAGCGAGATCACCGTGGGTCGTAATACTCAGATCAAATTTTCTTCTAACTATGACTCTTTCTTCCCTTTGCTAGAGAGAAACAGACTGGCAAACGTCAACCTCTACCTCTTACACATCTTGAAAATGCAGGGGGCATGGAAAGTGGCATCCATGTCAGTTTTGAGCTTTCAGCCTACAATCACACTCACTTCAAATAAACACCTGAATCTTGAACTCGAAGAATGGAAATATTTGGAGAAGAAATTGCATGTCGGTGGGCTCTGACTCTTCTTTTCCTCACATGGTCAGAAGCAGCCACTACCACCAGCAAGAGTCAGGTCCCTAGATTGTGGTGGGTTAGACAGTAGAGGAAGGGAATGGGAGAGGGGAGTCCTGAGCAGCTTCTAGGAGCACCTGAGTCATGGGGTATTAATGCAGTTCACTGAGCCCCTGCATCTCTGAAATTCAGATGAGCAGAAACAGCCCAGGACTCAGGCAATTTGCATTCTAAATAGCATGCCTGCTGATTCCGATGCAGGGGTGCCAAGATCCACAGGGTGAGAATTACAAAAGTCTTACACATGTTTCTAAGGTGAACATGGGCATGGGAGAATCTTGTATCCTAAGATAGAGATATCGTGCCAGGAACATAATTCACAGGACCTGCAAATAGACCTGTAGAAGTTCAGAGACCCATGAGGTCACAATAAAACCGGTGAATTCTAAGAAGGATGGAGAAAGGGGAGTCCCATGTACCAGGAGATGTGTATAGATGGGTAAAATTTGGGGTGACTGGTGGTTCTGAAAACCCTATTCCCATAACTGAGATGAACCATGCTAAGACCACTGCTGTCCATCTTGAGCTGCGAGTCTTCAACCAGTGGAAAAGCAGAGAGGTTAATTTTAGATTTTTTTTGGGCTGGAGAAACTTTCTCCAAACCCCCAGCCAAAGGAGACCACTTAATGGAAATTTCAGAAGGCAGAGTGCTCCTCCTTACCATCCTGATAACAGTGCCAGGGATCCCCCAGACGGTGACTACTCTAATCACTACCATAAAAAGAATTTATCAGTAAGGTCTCTCTCTTCCTCTTTTTTAAATTTTATCTATCTATCTATCTATCTATCTATCTATCTATCTATCTATCTATGAGAGAGAGAGCGCGCGAGCAAGCGCGCACAAGCCAGCGGGGAGAGGCTGAGGGAGAAGCAGACTCCCTGCTGAGCAGGGAGTCTGATGCAGGACTTGATCCCAGGACCCTGGGATCACGACTTGAGCCGAAGGCAGATGCTTAACTGACTGAGCCACCCAGACACCCTCTCTTTCTCTTTTTTTTAAAGCCCAGGGGATTGCACCAACCTAATGATTCCAAAATGCAAAGTTCAGCCGCGTGTAAACAAATCTGATAGGCAGTTTTGCTGTACCATGTTCTCAACCACTTACCTTATTGAATATGTCTCTTAATTTATAACCCCTTATCACTGGTACATCAAATCAATGCTAATTGTTCAGAGCTAAGTAAGATAAAGTTATAAAACTTTTTGCCACTGCTAAATATTACATTTCTCTTACCTGCCAGTTTATTTACTCCAGTTAATCCAGCTGAACTTGAAATGCAAACCAAATGTCCATGATTATTAGCGATCATAGCAGGTAGAAAGGATTTATAAGTCTAAGAAAAGCAAGGAAGAACTGTTAATATTTTATACTTTTTTCAGATGTTTATATGACTGTTGTGATGAAAAGAGTCTTTTAAGCTCATAAAAATATCTGAAGGCACTGGGGTATAAAAATGTAAACATCTGGCAAGTAAGCCTCTTAATTTGTTCAACCTGGTGAATCAGTATTTTCCTGATGGCAGTTCCAATATTATCTAAAAATAATTTATTTAGAATTATATTTTGCTCGTATGTGACTTCGAAAAGCAATATTCATACAATAATTCAAGCAGTATTGGAGAATCTTAACTGTGGCAGGCACAATCCACAAACCAGTAAGAATACTCGGAGATATATGATTATTTAGATTTATATTGCCTTTTCCCCCCCTTGGATCATATCTGGATTTCAAATTTTCTGAACATTGTTCATAGGACATGCCACTATAGGCTTCAGTTTAAAAATATCACTTTGTTTTGAGATTCATTTCTACTTCTTTGAATAGTGGTTTCTAATTTGGATTCCATGTCAGTAGAGAGGATATGTTAGAAAGAAAGGATATGTGCTGTGTCCTCAGTACTGTAGAGCACCTTCACCTTTGATGTGGGACCTGGAAAAAGAAGGTAAAGGAGAGAGAGATGAGCTTTGATAGAAGATATGCTCTACAACACAGAAATAACTTGCATATTTATATGAATTTCTATTTCATGTTTATTTTCAAATTTGAATCATATGAATAAATATGAGAGAAGGGATCTCTTATAAAAGTCAAACAACCTTTGTGTGCATCACGATGACTTTCCGAGAGAAACTAACACTTAGAGAGAGGTGGAAAATCAAAACGAGTCAACAGAGCAGCATCATAAAAAGCTCCCTGAGTTCCGACGGTCTGTGGTGAGTCTCTTTACTTCTCCCTGGGGACACATCCCTTGGGAGTACAGTCACCAGGAGCCCTCTGACCCGTTGGCAGTTAAGTGTCTACGCCATGCAGGGGCTCAAAGAACGTATGCGGACTTGCCCAGAAAGAGCGTCCAGAGTGAGGATGATGTGGGCCAGGGATACACCAGCATTCTGGGGACAACTAGAGGAAGAGAGGGAGAAAGAAGAGAGAGAGGAGACCCAGGAGGAAAAAGGACGCAGCAGAAGTGGAGACTATCAATGAGATGATGGTTTTATCTTCATTCTGGCCAAAGAATCTAACTTCCTTCTAATGAAGGAGAGGGATATTTGGGACAAGGCAACATAAATCACTTGCAGTAGCTCCCAAAGGAACATGGTGGTCACCTAGTTCTGAATCTTTCCATCTTTCTTCTGGAAATAATACAGAACACCAACAATACCACCAGTACCAGGACACTTTTGGTGAAACTAGGGGACAGAAACCGACAAAGTCCAAATAACATGTGAAAGCTGCCAAATGAGAGTTGGGCGGGAGTCCGGGTAGGGAGGTATAAGGAGGATGGAGGGGAGCTCAGAAGTCTCCAGCAAATACTCCCTCCCAGCCGAGGGCCACCCAGGACAGCAGGAGCAGGGAGAGGCAAGGGAGGGCATGAGCATGGGTGGGGAGGCGTGGCAAGACTGGTTTCAGCAAAAGCTAGGAAAACCCAACTTCTGCAAGGGGCATATCATGTTGGAGGTCAGGGGCTGTGCCCCTTAATGTCCGAGGCACCTGTCCTGTGCCCTTTAAAGTCACCCAGGCTACTGGTAGAAACTCCCTTTTGCCTGCTTAGATACTGGGTGAGGTGACTGTACATCTTTGTTTGCCCAGACTAGACCCGATTAATGCTTGTTTATTGATAATGCCCTCTTTCACTTTCTTTATTGTTATTATTATTATTTACCTTTTCCACTTTCAAAAGAGTTCCAGCTTAGGCAAATTGTAAGGTCTCCCTGGTCATGTCTACGTGCTATCATTTCTGTGTAGCCTTGAGCAAATCTTTTAACTCTTCTGATCCCTTATTTCACCAAGCTGTTTCAAGGATGATACAGGAGGTGCCTTGGATAGCACCTGACATAGGTTGGCAATCAATAAATGACAGTAAAACCATGGGACAATTGTGTCTTGGCAGGATTCCTTAGCGGAGGCTCAGGCAGGTGCAGGTTAAGCTGGATCAGGGGCGAGGCGGGGGGGGACATCTGGATAGACCGGGACAAATCTAAAATTGAGAAGTCTGTGCTTTGGTTAGAGAAGAATAAAATTGTAAGAGAACAAGAGGAAGGTACTTCTAAATTCAGAGTAACTTTAGATTGATCATGAGAATAAAAAATAATTACCCATAAATGTGCTTTGAAATTCACATCGAAAGCCTTTTCCATCAGCTCATCTGGGCAGTCGAGGAAACTTTTGCCTGTCACGATTCCGGCATTGTTGATTAGGATGGAGACATCGCCAACTTCTTTTTTAACCTGCGTTGAATAACAAGAGCAACACCACCCATGGAGTAATTCTTTACATGATCTAAGTTTAAGTTTCCCATAGTTTTTTTTTTTTTTTAGAGATTTTATTTATTTGACAGAGAGAGACACAGCGAGAGAGGGAACACAAGCAGGGGGAGTGGGAGAGGGAGAAGCAGGCCCCCCGCGGAGCAGGGAGCCCGATGCGGGGCTCGATCCCAGGACCCCGGGATCATGACCTGAGCCGAAGGCAGACGCTTAACGACTGAGCCACCCAGGCGCCCCTAAATTTCCCATAGTTTTACATGCTTCTTATCCTAGTTAACTCAGACGGAGTTTATGCACTCTGCAAACAGAGTATGCTTTATTTCCTTTGCTGAATTTACAGTGCGTCAGAGATCCACGTCTGATGCTTTTCTTCTCATTTCTTCCCCCCTTCTTAGGATGGTTCCAACATGGCAGGGCTACTTTCCTTAACAGGTAGAACAGTTAGAGCTATTCTAGTCATTTTGTTTCAGGCTCTGTGTAAGCAGTAGGTTTATTTCAATCATTGTGACGGGACATAAGGCATTATAGCCATGCCATATAAATCAAGACCCAGCACACACTGAGATGGGGTGGAGTAGGAAGATACGGAGGAAGCACAAAATTCCTAAACAGGTTTTATGCACACAGCACAGCTCAGAACCTGTCTGTCCTGCTTGTACCAACGAGCTGGTTTCCTTCTCCCTACCACAGGCTTCTAGATGTTAAGATATGTGAAGGGAGGATCAGAGTAAGCCCCATTTGCTTCTGTAACGCTAGCCACAGTAGGTACTCCATAACTTGTATTTAAGAAATAAAATTTCTGGGTGGGACCTCGGAGCCTTTTGCTTATAGTAAATCTTCAGTTTGTAATCTTAGCCCTTAGGGCAGAAGTGAGTGCAGGATTTGCCAGGATTGGAGACAGGAGATGGTGATGTCCCTTCGTTCCTTTCTGTGCTTTGAATTTCATTACTGTAATTTGTATCCCAAGCAGGGGCTCTGTCCCCAGATCAGAGAGAACCCCTGGTTGCTGCTATCCTGGGCCGAACAAGCTCACGGCAGTACCCCTTACATCTCTAGCTGTGTGTGTGTATGTGTGTGCATGTGTGTTGTGCACCTCCCTACATGGATGGCACCATCTGGCACAGAGTGGGATGTATTACTGAAGCCAGGTGGAAGCCACCACCTTACCCGCTACCCTGGAAGGCCTGAGCCCCGGCAACAAGGGTGACGTTGTAGGGATTTATGAGCCAACTAGATCGGCAGCCTAGGGAAAATCTAAGATGAAATAGAGACCAAGGAAACCTCACCTTTTATGGTAGCGTTTTCAGATAAAAGCCTGGAAACAAATCTGACTTCGAGCTTTATTTGGAGAGTGGCAAAAATATTTAGTCAAATTCAAGTTGAACAGCAGTCAAAGCTAGAAACAACTAGCCCTACCTGAGGCAATTATTTATGGAGGGCCTCGTATTAGCTTGCTCAATATTGGATAGTTTTCAGTATTTGAATGCGAACCAATTATTCCTTAAGAGTGGCTAGAGAAGTTGTTTGCCGTCAAGGGTGAGGGAACATGTCAGGTGATCAGGGCTCTAAGTGCACAGAGACTCATCTTCAAGGTTGGCCGTAGGAGAGAGACACACTTGCACTTTGAGGGAGGGGCTAGCTTGTCAGGTTGGGGTCTCCAGACCGAACCGGGCTTCCTGGGACTGGAGATGGTAGTCACAGATGTATAGAATTTAAAGACAAATTTCAACAGAAGCTACACACTCCCCTGCCGATCACCTGCCAAGCTTACCATTAGAAAGCGAAGTGGGAAGCGGCAAGGGATTCGGGGTAGGGGCCTAGAAGCTGTGCGAGAACTTTCCACTGGGGCTGGGCCGCTCTTCGCAGGCCAGTCTGGTTCCTTCCTTCTCACTAAATTGGGGAATCCTGGGGGCCGCCAAAAAGATGGCTCAGGAGAGTGATGTGCCAAGTACTCATGCCGATGGGGGGATAGAGAAAAGCCTTACGAGGGAAAAGAGGCAGCAAACAAGTACGAGCCTTGATGAACAAAAAAAACCTCTTACTGCTGCTTACTGGGGTTTTGATTTCCTGAAATCCTTCTTTGAACGTGCAGCTGTATCATCACCAAAGGAGCAACTGCGGCTAAGCATCTTTAGGATGAATGAAATATTCTGATTTTCTTATGATTACTTAAGAGAAATACACATTCAAATGAAAGGCCCTGTGGTGTGGTGGAAATAGCTGGATTTCAGTTCAGACCGGATACGGGTTCAAGCCCTGGCTTCGTCATATGCTAGCTCTGGGACCCCTGAGCAGATTATTCAATATCTCTATGTCTCCTTTCTCCTCCACAAAGGGGGCCACCCTCTACCTCCTATATGGTAACAGGGGCCGGCACCGGCCCGTACTGCCTGGTATGTACTATGGAGTCAACAGACTCAAGGCTGAGCTGGATCTTGGCTACTTAGTAGCTGTTTCTTAGGGGAGCTACTTACCTCCTTGAGCCCTGGTTTCCTTATTTGTGACATAGAGATAGTCATGGACCTCACTTTATAGGATTAGGATTAATATAGATGGGGTGCTTTGTGCGGTGTATTGTATATGATGACAACTCAAAAATCCGAATTCCCACTCCCCAATATTTTTTAAATTAAAGGGATGTTGGAGACAGGCAAATCTGCACCGAGCAAGGCAAAGAGACAGAGAAGAGAGGCACGTGAACGTATCTGCGTATAGTGCTCACTACCCACAGGGAACAGCGAGAAGCGAGATCTACCTGCTCGGCCACTCTGTATATGTTTTCCTTTTGGCTGCAGTCACAAGTGTAGGCATAAACTCTTGTGGCCCCAGCTTCCCGCACCATCCTGCACGTGTCCTCATTCCCCTCCTCGTTGATATCCCAGAGAACCAGCACGGATCCAAGGCGGGCAAATCTGAGGGCCAAGGACCTTCCCAGTCCGCTCCCGGAGCCAGTGATGAGCACGATTTCACCAGCAACGTTCTTCCGTGGTCTGGGGACGATGATGAAAATCATCGACACCAGAAAAGCAATCATTGATTTTCCTAAGAAAACCATCAATTCCTTGGTTGACTTCAGCTTGGAAGCCATGTTGTGGCTGAGACCTATAAAGGAAGAGAGACCCATGTCAAGAGCTCCATGACCATTCCCTGTGAGCGTGTGGACTATGTGGAGCTCACGTTTTCTGAGATAGCAGCAGAAAGGGGGGTGCATTGTTTAAGCTGCTCTCTTGGTAGCAGATTCTGAATTTCGGCAGACACAGGGCCTGTGTCTTGGCTTTCATTCACAGCCCCAAGCTGGACCCGCACCTGAGTGTTGTACAGGACAGAAAGGTTCCCTAACCAGGAACTGTAACCACACCAACATTTAACCCAAAGGAGAACTTAATTATTTCTCACAGTTAACCTTTCTTCATAATAATCCCATGTCCCGTTGACTGTTTTTATGTTCAAAGTCATAATTATATTGTAATGTTTATGTGGTAACGGCTACCTCTCTGGTTTTACTTTTGTCTCCTTCTGGGTTTGGGGGGTTTTGTTGTTGTTGTTATTTTTTTAAAGACTTATTTATTTGAGAGAGAGAGAGCGACACGAGCAGTGGGGAGGGGCAGAAGGGGAGGTATAGAGAGAGAGAAGCAGACTCCCTCCCTATGCAGGGCTCGATCTCATGACCCTGAGATCATGATCTGAGCTGAAACCAAGTGTTGGACACTTAATCAACTGAGTCACCCAGGGGCCCCTGGGTTTGTGTTTTTTAATTTGCACAGTTGTTCTTTAATTTTGTGTCATTATTTAAAATCTAACGTTCAATAGATAAGGATCATGTAGGGGACACACGCACACACCACACACACAGAGGAATATTATGCAGCCTTAAAAAAGAGATCATGCAAAACATGGATGGACCTAGAGAATATAATGCTAAGTAAAATGAGTCAAACTGAGAAAGACAAATACCATACGATTTCACTCATACATGGAGTCTAAAAAAAAAAAAAGAATAAACAAGCAAAAAAAAAGTAGAATCACACCTATAAATACAGGAAACAAACTGGTGGTTGCCAGAGGGAGAGGGGGTCGGAGGACGGGGGAAATGGGTGAGGGGGAGTGGAAGATACAGGCTTCCAGTTATAGAATGAGTAAGTCATGGGGATAAAAGGCCCAGCACGGGGAGTATAGTCAGTGGTACTGTAATAGTGTAGTATGGTGACAGATTATAGCTACACTTGCACGCACGGCATAACGTACAGACTTGTTCAATCTCTATATTGTACACCTGGAACTAATGTAACATCGTGTGTCAACTATACCCAAGTAAAAAGCTTAAAAATATTTGGGATTTAAGGGAAAAAAAATGTAAAATCCTATTTGTAGAATCTACTTGAAAAGGAGAAATTGATGTTCTAAACCTTTTCCAACAGATTCGCTGTGCGCATGGGGTACCCACCCTTCCCCAGACTCTGAGACCTCCATCCTACACCACTGACCATAGGTGCAAGACCACAGCGTTGGCACTGTAGAATATAGGCGAGAGACAGAGTGGATAGCTGTCCTGCCCTGCCCATGCCTACCTGTGAAACCTGGGGCAGGCTACTTAGCCTCTCGGGGCCTCGGTCTCCACATATCTACCGGTCCCGTAGCACAGGGTGATTTTGCGGATGAAAAGAGAATGAATGTTGTGTGCAGGCCTGCAATGCTAACCCCCAGTAAGTGCTTTATGGATGTTAGCATGTTTCTCAGATACGGAGTACTGCTCACGGAGAAATCACCCAATATGTTTGCTGTATGAATAAAAGGCCTCCCCTTGGGGCACCGGGGTGGCTCAGTCCTTAAGCGTCTGCCTTTGGCTCAGGTCGTGATCCCAGGGTCCTGGGATCGAGCCCCGCATCGGGCTCCCTGCTCCACGGGGAGCCTGCTTCTCCCTCCCCCACTCCCCCTGCTTGTGTTCCCTCTCTCGCTATGTCTCTGTCAAATAAATAAAATCTTAAAAAAAAAAAAAGTCCTCCCCTTGACAAACTCATACAAGGCTATAGCTTATATCCTGTTATCACTTTAGTGAGAATGAGTTTCTAAGATGCTTTACTAAAAAGCAGCTGGGAAAGAAGGGAAGGTCTTACTTTCTACAGGAGGAGAAGACATATTTAGCAGGGGCATCCTGTGCTGCGGGTGGGAGGCTTCCCTGAATGGGGTGTCCAATTGAGAGGCACAGCTGAGGGCAGATGTCCTTCATTAAAGAACCAGCAGGTTCACTTACTTTGCAGTTTGGCTGAGGATAGACTAGTCACTGTTCATGATGATGGGTGGATAGATTCATCAACAGCAGGGCTGGGAGCATGGCAAGGCCCTTAGGAAATTGTTGTGACCTAAATTGTTGTTTGTTGGCTCATTGGACAGATGGGACTGAAGATCAGAAAGAGTATGCATGTAGTTTACCCAAGGTCCTGGTGCTAGTTAGTGCAGGGTCGGCTGAGTTCATTTATTATATTTACTGAGCCCTGATGCCGTGCAGGTTTGATGCTGGGCATTGGGGCTGAGGACTCCGTGATTACTGCCCTCATGAGCCAAGGGCCTAGTTGAAGAAACAGACATTGAGCAAATAAATACATCATGACAAGCCATCATACTACAGAGAAAACTGAAGGGTGCTATAGAGAGTAGATGGGAGATCTGATTTAGATTGGGTGCTGGGGAAGAAACAACGGGAGAGATTCACTGGAAGGTGACATTTGAGCCAGTAGCCAAATGATGAATGGTTAGAGGTAGAGGGATCTGGGAGTAGCTTGACCAACAGAGGGATGGAAGAGTTTGAGGCTTGAGGTAGTTTTGGTCTGTGTGTCTAATGCTGTCTGTCCAGAGAATTAGAATGCGGGTGGTAGGGGGCACGGATGTATTGGTCAAAGGGAGTTCTTGTGGTGGAGCCCTGGTTTTCACCATGCTTTGGATGAAATGGCCCTCAAACTCTCTGCCATCTTTGCTCGGATTTATTTTCACAGAGTAGGTTTGGATGATTGACCTGGATGATTTGATGAATAATAAAAACTCTCCCCTTTTATAAAAGAGCCTCTCAGGCTCTGGAGAATTTGGAAGGAAGGTGCCCTGAAAGGCAAACGGTGATTTTCAGACTCTCATTTTAAGCTCAGTCGTGGGGTATGCGTCTTCAGACCTGCAAGGATGAGGGTCAGGCTTCCCACATTAATGGGGCACCATGGGCACCCTCCCCAGGCACAGCCTGGGCACGGCCAACACTCCTTCCACGAGAAGACCCACACCAGCTCATCCATGCCCCCGTTCAGGCACACCACTATGAGAGTCCATGCCAGAGGGACAGAGGTCTATTTCTCTCCTCAGTGGGCTCCAACACCATGTGGGTGGCTAGAAGTCTCAGCACTGACCTGGGGGAAGGTTCTTGATGCCAGAGGCCCTAGACTTCAGCACTCCACTGTCTGTGTTGGCATGATGTAAGACCTAGAGCAAGGTCTTACCACTTATTGCTGTCTCGGTGGATGCTTACTAGGTTCTTAAGAGCTTGGCATCCTGAGGCCTCCCTCATTTGGGGTTTAGGGTGTCTCTTGGGCATCTGCACAGGGAGTGCAGTGTAGAGATTAAAGTTTGGGTTGGAATTCTGGATCTGCCACTGACTTTTCTGCAGCCTTGGTTAAAATTATTTTGTCTTTTGTGCCTCAGTTTCCTCTTCTAAATAAGGGGATTCCGCAGGATGCACCAATGGGGGAGCTGTGGAAACTAAAAGACTTAATACAGGTAAAGTATTAAGGTGTGTAATACCAACCCTATGATCCTTTATGGAGTTTCTGAGCAAATTGGGGGGGGCGGAGAAAGGTCCCCATTGCCATGCACACAGTTCCTCCCTCCAGGGTGTATAGCGTGGGGGTGGGGATGGGGCAAGAGGAGTTGGGCTGGATTTCAACACCTGCCAGGTTACACATCATCTCCACCTTCACTCCTAATGCCCATAATGTGGAGGCCTTCCTAGAACAATGCCAGGCCGATAACAACAGCAAAATGACTGCATTAGCTAGAGCTACGACTGGTGTTCCCGCTAGCGTATGAATTATGAGCCCTGTCCATAGCAACGAAAGATGGTGATAGTAAGTATACTTAAAAACAAAAGTAAATTCTTAGGAAGTTACACAGCATTTTAAATTTAATCGGGTTACACACTTCTTTGATGCTTCCATCCCACAGCCTGACTACTTAGTTCAAAAGCTGAACTAACTTGGGGCACCTGGCTGGCTCAGTCAGATCAGCAACTCTCAATCTCAGAGTCCAGAGTTCAACTCCCACGTTGGGCATTGAGCTTACTAAAAAAAAAAAAAAAAGTGCTGAACTAACTTGGTGCCATACAGACCGGTGTCTTCTGTTTCCCAGGCCAGGACACAGCAAATTGCCCTGGGAAGAGTATTCATTGAACACCTCTGTGTACAAGGATCTAGAAAATATAGCAATGTTATATGAGTTGGGGGCGATGGGGAGGGAGTGGTAGACGCGCTCCGGAAGCAAAGAGCAGCGTGGCGCTCTCGCCCGCTCACCCCCAGCCGCCGGGCGGGGGCTCACCCGCGCTCCCTCTCTCGCACCCCCCGCTCCCCCCTGCCATGCCACCCCGCCACAGCTTTACCGCCGGTCGGGCGCCCACTCACGGACGCCTCGGAGCGGGCCAGCGCCACCTCCTCGCGGAGGTCTTGCCCGGCTCCGGGTCCGGACTTCGGGAACTCACTTGAGACACGCAGCTTTAGCTATCGTCCGAGAAGCAGGGATCTGCCACCGGCACCGCGTCGCTGGCTCGCGGCTGGGGGAGGTTCAGTTTATCTCCCAGCCGAGTCCAGGGTGGGACGGCTCCGCCCGCGCAGTGGGTGGAGCCGCAGTGCGGACCCGCCTTGGGGCCTCAGTAGACCAGCTTTTCTCTCTCTCCCTCTCCTTCTCCCTCCCTCCCTCTCTTCGTTCCTTCCCTCCCCCTCTCTCTCTCCCTCTTCCTCTCCTTCTCTCCCTCCCTCTCCCTCTCTCCCTCCCTCCCTCCCTCCCTCCCTCCCTTCTTTCCTTCTTTCCTTCCTTCCTTCCTTCCTTCCTTCCCCAGGC